GAGGGAGTAAACCCTGAATGGGGTAGGACAGAGTGTTCTGCTTGAAGGATCAGCAAATAGGTTGATTTTGATGGTTCTAGCACAATAGGTTGGGGGAATTTGCAGTGTAAGTTTGTTGGATTTATGGTATTTGAGATTATTGAGATCTTTTCTGTTGATGAGAATTAAGGTATTGATCAGAACATGGGTGTAGGGTGAGTTGCTATCAGATTCATGCTTTCAGGGTTGTGCACGTGGTCCTTGCATCAAAAGCTTCTAGACAAATATCTTGTTGTAGGCGATTGTCCCTTCTAGGACAATGAAATAGAGTAAATAGGAGCGTCTGTCGCTCTGGGTGAATGTCAATTGAAGGGTTGGTTAGCTCGTTGAATCGATTGCTACCATTAGTAAGGGTAGAGCTATTTTTGATTTATCAACCTACTTCAGGGTGTGGTGGATGCACTTCCGCATGGGTTTTGTTTAGTGGTTGAGATTGTTCGATAATTGTTGAGTTGTATCCCTTGACGGTGCTGTGGGTGCATCGATCATTCTTTAAGTGTGGGGCAATGGATATTTTGGACCCCTGGTTAGGGTGTCGGCGCAACGTTGACCAGTTTTCTAGAAGGGCCTCAAATCTATGTGGAGTCCAATGTTAGCGGGTCGCGCCAATCGGGTTATAAAGGAGTTAATATGATCTCGGTTCTGGTAGCATTCAGGTTAATTATGAAGTTTTCCTTCAAATAGGAAGTTTGGTTCAATAAGTTGAGAAATTTTAGGATTTGTTCGATTATTTAAGATTGGTATATTACTCTAAGAAGGTTTTATGGTTTGAATGTTTATTGATATGGATTGTGATCAAAAGTTAGAAATCTTAGGGTTTGGATACATTGGATTGTGGGCATATAGTGGAATTCTTGAAAGTCGTTGGGGGAGTGGCTGATTTCAAGTGTGGGAGTACCGCTTGGGAGTAACGAAAATATTTTCAAGTACGGATCGAGTTGGAGTTTCGTAACTATGGTCAAGAGGATAGCTGGTTTTTGGTTTGGTACGAGCCAAGGATTACGCAAGGAATAGTGTCTATTGGTTTGTTTTAGTAAGGGAATAAAAGATTAAGGATTCACGTTATCTCGTTCGGGGACGTGAAGCAAAGGTAGGGGCGTATTTTGGATCCATGGCTAGGTTCAAGTTGAGGGTTATGTTAGGACCTATGCTATCAATAGCGCAGTATAGTGGTGCAATAGCAGCGCTATAGTGTTTATCGGAGGTACAAGACCGCTATTTTAAAACAACGTTTACGAATAGTGTTGGCGCTATTAGCAGTTCTATTGAGCAATATTTACCGTGATACACATCACCGCTATAGAGGCGCTACAACTAATTTTTCAATTTCGTTCACATTTTTTCCATTTGGCTAATCCACATGACCAAATATGTTTTGTTTCCTTTATTCATTTCCTTTCTACACACACACATACTACGACATACAATGCTTTACAGTTCACACTTATAAACTCGTGACTGTCAAATGCTTCAATCACTCACTGTGAATCTATGTTAAATGTTAAATGTGATGTTTCCTTTAATCATTTAATGTTAAAGGTTTCTCTTTCAATGCTTCACACTTATTAACTTGTTAATTTGTGATTTATAAAGCAATCAACACAATTTATGAATTTATGAAGTGCAGAAGCGATCAATCACTCACTGTGAATATGTGATTTAGCCTTTAGGAGCATAAAGTAGTGAATTTATGAAGTTATGATTTTAAATTCTTAATTTGTGTTCATATATCATATATTTTTGTTTCATATATAACATTAATACTCTAATATATAAATTCTATATAAATATATAATATAAAATTATAAATTATACGTAATATTAAAAAACCGCTATATCACTGATATACCACCGCGATAACCGCGATTTCAAATAGTGGTCTGTAACCGCTATTGAAATTTTAACCGCGATAACTACATAGGTTAGGACCTCACTACCTGCTCTTGTCTGATGAAGGCTTCGGGGTTCGAAGCATGACCCTAAGACCTGATAGGGTCCAACATGCTAGGGGTTCAACTCATATTGATCTTTGGTTAGGTATTCTTGTGGGTAGTTGGCAAAACCATGGGCTAAGCCCATGGTAGTTGTGGAAGGGTTGTAAGACTGTGACATAACCGTAACATTGACTAGGTTGGTAGACGGTTGTGGAAGTACGGTAAGTCTACGACTTGGCTTGTAGCATTCTATAGGGTGAGTTACGTCGTACCAGGAATGGTTGTAAGACTGTGGAAGGGTTGCGTATTGTACTATGGTATGACTCTTATTAAGTGTTAAGTGGGACGTTGACTGGATTCCGTCGGTGGGATGATGGTCGTATGTCTATAGGCCCACCGGGTCCTGATCAGGAGTCGTCATGCATGTGATTGGGTGAGGGCAGGAATGGTAAGGAACTGTGAGTATCTCATTCCAAAAAAATATAAAATGTATGAATATATTAGATTATATTAAATTTTGGTGTTTGAATTTTTTTTGGTTTTTATTATTCTAGTTTTGTTAATTTATTGTTTTTTTTTATTTTGGTTCAAGTAAAAAAAAAAGTTATATTTCTATTTGTAATTTTCGCCCGACTTTTTTCTTTATATTTTTGTTATTTAGTGTCTATTATATTTATGGTACGACAAATTAAAATTTAAAAAATCAAACAGTTTGTTTATTGAGAATTATTGTTTCAATGTGTGGTAATTGCGAGTTATAATTATTAAAATGGGAAAACTAGCTAAAACATTTTCTAATGCAACTTGAAAATTAAATCATATTTCTATATATGATATTAATAGTTCAAATTCAAGATAATATCTTTCAATTTAATAACAGTAAAAAAATAGAAAACCATAAATAAATTAAATTAAAAAAAAATAGAAAATCAAAGGTCAAAAAAGTAAAAAAAAAAAGTTATCAAATTGTTGAAAAATAAAATAAAAAAACGAAAAAATAGTGTGTATATATATATATATATATATATATATATATATATATATATATATATATATATATCTATAAGATTTCAAATTTTCAAAATTGATACTTAAGGTATACACATTTTTCAGATTTGGTCCAAAGTATTTTGGTGATTTAGAAAAAAAAAACTAACTAATCAAATAGAGTCCGACTTTTATTGGTTCTTTGTTTCTTGTTCTAATTTGACCGGATATGAAGTTGAACTATTGAAGAGTATAACTAAAATAATAATAGAGTCCGACTTTTATTATTTCTTTTATTCTTTATTTTAGTCTATTATCAAATTGAAAAATACTATATTGAATTTCAACTATTGATATCATATATAGAAAATAAGATTTAATTTTCACGTTACATTTTAAATTTTTTAGCTAGTTTTTTCATTTTAACCTAATTATTATTTTAAATAAATAAAAAGAACAACTTCGGTTATTTGGTGGAGTATCTAAGCAAAAAAATAATAACGGTAACAACATAAAATTAATAAACATTATTGATTCAATTCACAAATAAGAAAAATTAAATAAAAAACAGTTCCTACATGGTTTATAGAATTTAAAATAAAATTAACTAGTCAAAAGTTCAAATTAACCCCGGAAAGATCATTCATCCAAATTTCGAAACAATAGGGACCAGTGACGTGATGTTTTTCATAGAAATCTTTACAGTGTAATTTTTTGAAAATATTAGGGACCAATTATTAAATTTTGTCTTTTTTATATGTATTAATGGAAAATATTGTAATTTTGGTGATTATCCCTTATATGTGCTAAAGTAGCTGGCCCTCTTAGTAATTGGGAATATGACTTATTAAGGTAATTAACTTTTCGGTTTGTTCACATCTCTGTAACTATCTTTTTTTTGTACACATCTAGGTAACAAACTTGTTGGAAGTGTTCACATATGACCATTATGACATGTTGTAGCAGATTACATCGTAGATGTGAACACTTTTAACAAGTTCGTTACCTAGATGTGTACAAAAAAAAATAGTTACCCAAATATGAACAAAACGAAAAGTAAGAGTAAATTACACGAATGGTCCCTGTGGTTTGGGGGAATTTGTGTTTTTGGTCCCTAACTTATTTTTTTAACTCGGATTGTCCCTACTGTTTATTTTTGTTGCGCGTTTGGTCTCTGTCTTACCTAAAAAGACTATTGTGCCCTTATTAATTTATTTTTTAATTACCTTAATAAGTTAATGAAAAGTTAATTTGAATCGGAACTCTTTATTGTAGACTTTGTTTGGTTTTAGCTTACTAATGTTCATTTATCTACTATAATAAATAAAGATTTTTTTTGTTAAATGTCATTCTTTCATTAACTTGGACACATATCATTTTCTAATATTTTTAATAAATGTTTTTCCATGTATCATTTTCTCATTTTTTATCTTTTCTTAATTAACACATCATATTTACACCTCAATTAATAATTGTCTTAATTCAAAATAGTCAATAAATTACAATATTACTACTCATATATTGTATTTAATATGTTTCTTTTTAAATTTAAATTTTAAATTTTTGAATTTTAAATCTAAAATTTCAATTTTAAATAATTTTTTGTTTAACCTTCATATTTAATTTTTTGTTTTATCCAACCCATACGGGTCTCACAACTAGTAATTTAATATATCACTATCGTGAAAATACGAAAAATACAACTTTAGTATAGGTATGTTTATTTACTTTGGCAGATTTGTAGGGTCGAGAGTCCTCCTCACATGTTTAAATTTTAATGCCTGAAATTGGAAAGATATAAGAATCTTGTAAATATTAGTGGTAGTTTAGACTTGATGTTTCACCTTTTCTATTTCAGATTTTTTTTTTCTACATGATAACATTAAAAAAGGTTTTAGATAAAAAGAGCACACACACATATACAGTCACGTGAATATTCAGTCCTTTCCCAGCACAACTTTTTCTCTCTATATAAAGACGAAGGTCTATAAGTGTACACCATGCCAAATTATTTATCACATTTAGTTTATAATAAAAGAGATGTCATTGCAAAATGGGGAGCAATCCAAAGAAATGCTAAATTCTGAAGCTCACATATGGAACCACGTTTTTAGCTTTGTGAATTCCATGTCACTCAAATGCGCAATTGAACTCCAAATACCTGATATCATTGATGGTCATGGTGCACCAATGTTGCTATCCGAGTTAGTCGAAGCCCTCCCCATCAACAAAGAGAGAACCACTTTTGTCTATCGACTTATGTGCATCCTTGTCCACTCTGGTTTTTTCGTGAAACAAAGTCTATCCACAACTACAGGCAATGATGAAGAGGAGGAAACAGAAGGCTATTTGCTAACTCCTGCTTCTCGACTCATTCTCAAGGAAGAACCATTTAGCATTAGGCCCCTTTTGCTGTTCATGTTAGATCCAATACTGATGGATCCATGGCAAAACATGAGTAAATGGTTCCAGAACAAAGACATAACCCCCTTTCACACAACCCACGGGAAGTCGATGTGGGATTTAGCAAGCCAGGAGCCGAAAGTTAACCAATTCATCAATGAAACAATGGCTAGTGATGCAAAGCTTGTAGGAAATTTCATTACTAAACATTGTGCAGATGCTTTTTAAGGGTTGAATTCAGTTGTTGATGTTGGGGGTGGTACTGGAACCATTGCTAAAGCCATTGCCAAAGCTTTTCCAAATATCAGTTGCATTAGTTTTGATCTTCCGCACGTTGTCAATGGTTTGGAGGGAAGTAAGAATATGAGTTACGTTTGTGGGGACATGTTTGAAGCAATTCCTAAAGCTGATGCGGTTTTCTTGAAGGTATCTTTTATTTTCGTTCTTTTAAAGCAAGTCATTTTCTTTTGCACATTTAATGTCAATCTATCTGACTCATAACTATTCTGTATTCTAAAATCTAACATTGGGTGTTTGATTGAAATATATTACAATATTTATGTCAGAAGTTATACTGATTAAAGTTTTATCTTGAAGCATCTTGATGATATTATGTTTATCTATGATGAAAAATAGTGGATACTACATGATTGGAATGATGAAGAATGCATAAAGATATTGAAACGATGCAAAGAGGCCATACCGAGCAAGGAATATGGAGGAAAAGTGATCATTGTAGATATGGTGTTGAAAAACGAAGAAGCAGGTGAGAAATCGTTAGAGACTCAGCTTTTCTTCGATATGCTTATGATGGTCAATGCGACAGGAAGGGAGAGGAGTGAAAAAGATTGGTCAAAGCTCTTCTTTGATGCTTGTTTTAGCCATTATAAAATAACTCCGATTTTGGGATTAAGGTCTATCATAGAAGTGTATCCCTAGTTAAGTTGCATTAATTTCTACACCACATAATTGCCGACCAATTTACTAAAGGATGAGCTTGCTTGTATGTTTTCACAGTTGTTCTTTTTCATCAATATCATTTTCATTCATCCTATCAGTATAGGAGCTGCTCCGTACACAATTTTTTTTTCCATACATAACAATTGATGTTTTAAAATGTTTTAAAATGTTGTATTGTACAACTATATAATGCATAAATTGTTGTGTATAGCAAAAAACGGTTGTGTACGAATCACTTATTAAATATATTCTTATAATATTGTTGCTTGATCGGTGTTTTTCATGAATTCATTCACTTTTTAAAATTTAAACTAAAATAAGTATAAAAAATATGGCTGTTTAGTCCAACTGTGAGGCAAAGTTTTTCCTCTGTGGCACCAAGTTTAACATTTGTTTTAGTTTTAATTAAAATTCCTTTTAATGTATTCCCGTTTTGTAGGTAAATCATGTGAAAACAATGATTTTTGTTATCGACATGTTGTTTTGTTATTGATTATTAGTAGTGTAACATACATAAGGGCAAAACCCCAACACGACAGCACATAATCGTAACTTATGCATCGGAGCATAATATCATGCCTATCACATATTACGGTTGATCCTAATTCCCCCCCCCCCCCCCCCCCCCCCCCCCCCACCCTTTTTTATCATATCACAGAGATTCCAGCTTTCTCCCGAACTGACCCCATTATCACATATTCTCTGTTCTCTATTCTTTGAACCTGGTTTCATCATTGGCTCCATCCGAGAGCCGCTCCTAATAGTCACGGTGGTCCAAAGATAGAGAGAATGTTAGAGAAAAATAGAGAAGTAACAATCGCAGCCCCATATAACCAATGGGGACTCTAGGCACAATCCCGCTACCAACAATCCCATGTCTCCTGTCAATATTAACGACCATGTCCGCTGTAACGACCTGAAAATTCGAGTATTTAGCTACATGGGATGTAGACCCAGTTTTGACGTGATGATTGAAATAGATTGTTATTATTAAGAAAGGCATCCTACTTTAGTTGAACATGGTGTGCAAAGGGAACACACACGACATGTTCCAAAGTTCGTTGCCTTTGGAGTAAGAGAGGAAAACGAGGCGTCAGGGTTAAGGGCGCGACGCGCAAAGTCAAGGTCAATGAAAGTCAAACGAAGAATGTGATGCGTGTCTTTATTAAGCGCGACGTGTCGACGTGTCCAGGCGGTGGACGCGTGAAGCGGGAACGAGATATGTGGCAAGGTCTAGGTGACACGTCCAGGGTCGGAGCGCGATGTGTTCCACGATAGAATCAATGTATATATAGATTTAATTTTGGTTATTTTTCCAAAACTCATACATTGTTTGTTCAGTAGAGAGTTTGAGTAGAGAGTTTGAGGGGTTGTTTCCTGAGGCGTTTAACCGAATGATTGGTACTAGTATACGAGGGTACGAGCTACCAAGCGAACTAAGGTATCATCATGTATCGTTATCACGTAATTGTGTTTGCCTAACATGAGGATGAAGGGTTGTTAGAATCTGAGTTAGTTACTAGAGTTCATAATATGGTGCTATTATGAACACAATGGTAAGCTCAATGGATGAATTCCACGGTGGAATTCTTGAATTCGTTAACGAGGATTATAAATCCTAATTAATGGAATTACTAGAAATGGGAGATTAAGCTACTAGCTTAATGAATTAATTTATTTAGCAGTTGTATTTTGGAGATTAACTGGATTGGTGACAAACAGTTACCAAGTTTAATTAGTGGTCAAGGAAATGATCACTATGGTTAGACATAATAAGTAAGCTCCTAGTAAATCGAGACAAGTTCTGATAAATTTGATGTTTTGATGCAATAGGATTTGGCACATTGATAAGCTAAGAGGCAGCGCGAAGCCAGAGGCAAAAACATAAGTTAGTTTTCACTAACTAGCCATGTAAGTACATGTGGATTGTTAAAACGTTGTCGTAGACATTTTAAACAAATATGTTATCACTGTTTGGTTGCACTAATTGGTAGCATAAGGAGACAGGGTCGAATCCATAGGGACACAGCCTAAAAGTCAATGCCTCTTTGCACAAGGCACGTTCTAGTCAAAAACGTGAAAATATAAAAAGGGGGATTTTTGTTTAGAATTAAAACTAAAATTGCATTGAAATGAAATAAATAAAATTCAGTAATAAAAAGAGTTTCAGTTCTGCTGTGATTTTCCTAATTATGAAATCAATCAATATCTGGTTATTTAAGATGCGTTCTATCAAAGTTGTACTGAAAAATACTAACAAGCTCTAGTAAGTTCTCTTTTACCTAGGGCATGTTTGGCATGGAGCATTTTGGAGCGTTTGAGAGCTTTTAGCTTCTAGCATTTGACAAAACGCTATGTTTTGAACATAAATCTTCATTTGGTACTACAAGCTTCTAGCGTTTCGTTTAAAAAACGCTCCAAATCCAAATGCTACTTCATGTAGCGTTTAACAAAAGCCTACCAGCTAGAAGCTACCCGCTACCCTCTACAAGCTATCCGCTACCAGCTTGTAACACACATAAAAATCACAAGAAATTTAAACTTTTTAAAACCAACCCAAATTCACAATTTGTTTAAAAATATAGTTTTCAAAACATTTCGAATATCAGAGTCTCCCAAAATCATAAGTCATAAACAAAAGGATGTGTACGGTCACGCTTTCGCCTTTCTACGGTCATCCGAAGTACCTGAAACATAACATAAAACTGTAAGTCAACGCTTAGTGAGATCCCCCAAAGTACCAACACATAAACAGATAACATATAATAATAACAGCATGAAAGGTCCAATCAACCATTGGATTGGAATACCATAATACATTATGGGTCCAGTTAACCATCGGGTTATAATACCCCAATATACTATGGGTCCAGTCAACCTTCGAGTTGGAATACCCCAGGCCCACTCAACCATCGGGTTGGAATGCTAATCTATAACGGGTCCTGTCATCCTTGGGATGGAATACCCTTGGGCCCAATCAACCATCGGGTTGGTATTCCTCCGGCATGTTGGCTTACACACAAAGCAGTAAAGCCTCAACCACCAACCAAATATATGCATATATAACAGATAAATATATAAACAGTCTACAGACAGACATACAGATCTACAGATCACTAAGCATAGCATCATCCTATATACCAGGATACCGATCGAATAGATCACTACAACATAATAACATACTATCACATAACGTGATACCAAATCCAAAGGGCCGACCTTGGTGCCTTCGACCTGCAAGTACAGTGAGGAAAACTCACCTCGGAAACTGAACACTAGCTGATGAGGTCCTGACTCCGAATCTCAGCTCAAACCAACACCTAATCATCACAATGACCCAAATCTCAACATAATCCGAAATACCTAAAATATCCTTAATTCAAACTCGGTCAAACTTGGTCAAAGTCAACCCACCTCACGTCGTGGCCAGGCATTGATCACGTCGTGACAGCGAACCCGATCCGATTCCCACTCGACTTGACCCAACTAGATAACTCAGTCAAAGAAACCACCTGAACAGGCATCACGACGTGAGCACCCATTCTCACGTCGTGAGCTCCATGGATTCTAAAAGAAAACGAGGACGCTTCGAATCTCACGTCGTGAGATCTTAAATCTCACGTCGTGAGCCCTGTTTGTGGCTAACGGTCACCATTTTAAGTCCTTATTCCATTAAGTCTTCGAGTCCACTTCATCCAGAAGCTAAAGGGGACCCCTAAGGTCCATAAAAATGTTTCATTTATGGCCATGCATGCACCAAACATGATCATCAATTTATAGGTCAAAAAGGGAAGGAATGGGCTTCATTCTTTCATGCATGACTCAAATCCATACCAACTTCTAGATCTGAACAATATAATGGTCTAGGGACTCTTAGAATCCATAAAGTTGCCAACTTTATGGATTTACTCCACTCAAGCATGCAATAACATCAATAAGATGGACAAAACTCAAGATCTACCCATGATAAGCAATAAAGTTGGAGCCTTTGATACTTACAAGGGTCCAAAAAATAGGAAAAGATGATGATGATTCTAATTCTTTGCCCACACCACAACTAGAGCACTTTCTTCTTCTTTTGTTCTTCCACAAGCTAGAAATGCACCCAAATGACAAAGGATCTTAAGGAGGAGTAAGATTAGGGTTTCTGGAGGTTTAGAGAGTGAGAGAGGCTGAGGGTGAGAAACCCTAGCCTTCTCATTACCTTAAGTACCGAAAACTTAGGGTTTAAGGTCACTCACCGCCCTGATGTCGTGAGCACAATACTGCTCACGTCGTGAGCCTTAAAATGATGCACGGGTCTGAAACACTCTTCACGGCATGGAAGGAATTCTTCACGTCATGAGCAGGGAAAATATTGGAACTTTGAACTTTATAATATTAAAGATAATGTGCACCTGATCCGGGTGTTACATAACTATTTTTGCCGAACACGCCCCTTGTTAATTAACAAAAATAAGCTTTTCAGTTAATCATAACTTTTTACTAACTTAATTAATGTAAAGTTTGTTCCAGGTGTCATTTATTTCTCTAAATATTTAGGGTTTTGCACTGGGACTCGACAAGTTGGGGAGCTCCAACTCGTCGAGTAGGGATCATTATCGACGCGGGATAAAGGGTTTACTCGACGAGTTAGAAGGCCCCAACTCGACGAGTAGACGCTGGAAAGGAAAACCCTAAATTTCAGGGGTTGTACCCTATTTAAAGGCCTTAAGCCTCATTAGTAGCCTCCCTTATCGCCTCCATCACCCAGAGAAACCCTAATTCGGCCATTTCCTCTCATTGTTTGTGTGTGTGTGTGTGTGAGCTTAGAGAGTGACTTTTAGTGCTCTTTTGAAAGGAACTTGAAGCTTGAAGAGGTTAAATTGAGTAGAAGGCAGTAGATCTGGGATTTCCTCCAGTATTGCAGCTACATTGAGGTATAAAGTCGAAACCTTGGCCTTTTATTGCTTAGATCTTCTTCTATGAAAGTTTATGGC